AGGATTTCTGAGCGAGCGCACAGTGGTAGCTGATGTATTTTGACGTGCCCGATGAGAGAGGCCGCTCTCTCTGTTGACTGCATTATCTAATGGACCACCCTCTCCGCCTTCGTTCCCCTTCTATTTCTCCCTGTCCCACCGTCTCTCTCGATCGCTCGTTCATCTCTCTCCCGTTTTCCCTTCGTCGCGGCCTTCCTGCCCGATGCACAACGACTCGGCGTTTCAGCTATCTGCGATCTACCGCATCGGGAGACGACCGTTCGACGAGTTGCATGCATCTCGGCTCTGATTTCATAATCGACCGCGAATTTCTTTCCTTTTCTGTTACGCGCCTTATGCAATTCATCGATGTCACCCGGCGCACGCATGCACGTACGCATGCGCGCGTGCGGTAGTCAGTCCCGGCGTGCCGAATTAACCGGAAAGTGCGAATAAAAAATTGTCGAGGCTCTTAGGAATATACAGGGATAGGTTCGATGTTCGACGATCTATCTCCAAAGGCACGAATGCGGGAATATCGGGTGACATACGCGTCGAGCTCCAAAGTATGCAATTACACGCGCTTGGGGATAATTAAGATCGCGCGAGATACATAAGAAGAGGATAGACGCGGATGATAACGATCGAATACCGCGACGTTTTTCCCCCGACGTTCGTCGGAATGCAAGAAAGAAGCCCACTGCGTTGAAATCCCGAGACGATATTGCCTCGATAGTTACCGGGTTACCAGCCCAGAGATCCGAGCGTGCTCGATTCGGTCGGGAAAGAAGTTACGCCGCAGTTACATCCAAGGCGAGGTAACGCGCAAAAAGCCCGAGTATCTCCGATGAGTACCGAGAGGAAGAAGGAAAGAGAGGGAGAGAGGAAGAGGGAGAGAGAGAGAGAGAGGCCGTGGAACGGCAGAGTTTTTCGCGACCGGCAAAGTATTGTCCGTCGTCGTAATCTCGCGTCTCGTCGAATCTCGAGAGCGAGATCGTGCGACCGTGACTCTGGAATCATCCCTAAGACCTTAGACCCCCGCGCAGCAACGTCCGCGCCCAGCCATCACCAACACCGTTCCGCGACCCGTGCAATCTCTCTCTCTCTCTCTGGTATCCGCTAACATGAAATTACCACAGTTCCTCCTCAATCTACGAGTACCCTTCGAGTGACGCACCACGTCGGTGTTTTCTGTCGAGTTTGCGCGGCGGTCACGGACGAGCTCTATTAGACACAACGATCCCTGTCGCCGAAAGAGCAACGCGGATTCGGCATTCACGATGATGCCTCTCCTTCGTGCCACGATGGCGGCACGGGGGAAAAAAATTAGAAAAAAATGTGTAACGCGTATCCGTGTGTAAAAGAATACTCCCGGCTGGGCTGTGTTTAAGAAAAATCGGGACAATGTAGTCAACCGCATAAAGGGATCCTGTCTGAGTTTACAAGCATGGGGATCGGCACGAGGCCCTCACGCGATTGCCTAACAAAGTATCACGGAAGAAAAAAGGCTCGTCCTTCGTCGCGAGCCAGCAGGAGAGACGCAGATCTGGCGGATACATTCCTCGTCCCGGCCTGGGCACCGTGGACGACGTCGCCGGGTCCTTGGAGCGAGCAGCCCCATTCGGGGCAATTCTTTGCCGTTTCGCGTGTATCCTTAGTATGCAACGTATGCAGTCGGTTGTTACCGAAGGAGTGGTTTGCTGAGCGGCCAATGGCGAGTGCTCGAGCTAATTCTAGGGTGCCGCCGCCGCGCCATCTTTGCATCATAATGCTGTCCCCCCGTGCCCCGGCGCTCACTCGCTCTCTCTCCCCCCGATTCCTCCTCACCGCCCCTCCCGTCACTGCGAGAAGTCTGCCCCCTTCTTCCTCCCTGCTGCTGCCGTCCCGCAACCTCGCTTGCCTCTGCCCTCCTCGTCCTCCTGTCCTCCCCCACCCTCTCCCACTTTCTCTCCACCCTTGTTTCGTTTCGCGTAGGAAAGAAGGAGAGGAAGAGAGGGCGAAGGAGACGAAACATCAGGTGAAAGAGAAAGAGAGAAAGAGCGAAAGAAAAGGAACGAAGAGAAACGTCTCGGAGGCGCGTTATGCCAAAGTGGATAAGGAGAAGAGTGCACGAGAGGGAAACGGAGAGGTATAGAAGGAAAAGGAGGGGCACACGGCCATGGCGAAGAGGTAGAGGGGACGAAGGGGTTGTCTGCGCCTTGTCTGCCGGGAATCAATCACGTATCAGTGATGCTCAACCAGTGGCCACCTGCGAGACACGATCGATAGGATCGCGATACCCACTTACGATGGCTCATCGATGGTATCCGCTGTTGCTTCGAACCATAGAGTCACGACGGATCCGTGGACGTTCAATTTCGATCTCGAGTCCGAGCGACGAGCAGGACGATACTTCCGCGACGTTTATTCGCGCGCACATGTACGCGTACACACGCGCGCACGCGCGCGCGCAGCGAGATTTGAGAGAAAAATGCTTGATATTCTCGCGATGCCGGTGTGTGGCCGAATGAGAAATGCATTTGCATCTAAAGTGGATGGATGCCTTTGCACGGCCTCACGACGATTTACTTCCACGGCGGCGGCAATACGATCCTCTGATTACCGTTCCAGAAATGACGCGCGAGCGGAGGGCGATTAAAGCCGCGTGCCCTAATCTCCATGCTGCACCGGCGCGAGAGCGAAGGGAAGGTATGTCGTCGTACCCGAGTACGCCCACGGCGACGTGGTACCTACGCCTCGCGCTACCGTTTTACCTGTCAGGGTAGGGTAACGTTAAGTCGAGAGAACGCGAGTAGGAGCTACTGTCTTCCGCCGAGCCTATCACCCCGAAGAATCGCGACAGATCTATTTCGGTACGTTAACCGATTACACCGGGATCTTGACGAGTGCATATTTCAGCACGGCGCAACGTGCATAGATCATCGATGTCGAAAAAGAAGGTGGCGATTAGTGTTATTTTTTTTTCTTTTAACAAAAACCTTCGATACTTTGAGGAAGCGTGCGTTCGCGACATCGTGTTGTTTTCGACGGCATCTCGGGAGAGGATCGAAGGAATGGAATCGAGGAGGCATAATCGATCGAACCCTAATCTTTTTGCCCCGAGGTACCTTTTCGCGGGATTCGAATGGACGCAAGAACCGGTCAATGATTTCTCGTCGGGCGCGGACGCGCCACGCCGCGCCGTGCCAACCCGGCGCAACGAGAAACGATCAAGGCAGAATCGTCGCCGAACAAAGCCGGAGTCCGCGAGAGAGATCGAGCCAAAAGTGTCGAGAGCCGAGATGCGCCCGGGAGAGGATACAATGGCCGGACGCGCCGGTTCACAATGACGGAAAATAATTAAAGCGGGCAGGGGGAGAGAGCGCGTTCAAAGACGCCGACGCGAGGGTCTCGACCGATCAAACCGATCGGTCTGTATGCCGTATCTGAGCGAACCTACGTGCACACCCGTTACCGTGGCGAATTCGCGCCCTCCTACACGTGTATCTAATGTTGCGCGCGCGCACGTGTGTGTGTGTGCGTGCGTGAGTGTCCGACGCAAATCTGTGTGCGCGCATCACGGTGGATTGATTTCGTGTACGTCTGCACTGGCGACAAAGAACGGGACGTTGGAATCCGGAAAAGAAGTCTGAAAGTACGGCGATCAAGACCAGAATGAATGGTCTGACACGAAAGAGCGAACAAGCCTACCTGCATTGTCGTAATATTTGTGGTCGACAACAAGTTGCCGTGGAATGCTTCGTGACACAATTTTTAAATAAGCACGAGGAGAAACTTTGCGCTAGTCTGAGCCTTGATCGGATCATGTTCTACGTTCTGAATTTATTCTCTAAAACTAAACTTGCTTTGAAGGCATAAAGTGTATTATATTACACGGCCATTTTTTTAGAGATTTTTTAGAGATGCGCGAATCAAGAATTTTTTCTGTGTCAAATCGAATCGAATTTCTTTTTTAGAATCTAACTGAATTGACCAAATTTCACCACAATTGAAGCGAATGCAATTAAGTCGAACTCTGAAATATAATTTTTAATTAATAACATAATTATTATCATGGATTGAATTTAAACGTGTAGATAAGAGAATATTTTGATGTGGAAAAATAATACTGATTATATAACGTGAATTTGTTTCATAAGGCGAAAAATATATTCAGAGTCAACAAGATCATAGATAAATTATTAAAATACCCTAATATAATATCCAATAACGTTTTATCTAATTATTTACCCAGTAATTAAAATAGTATAGTTCATTTTATTATTAATATTCTTTGGTTTCGATCCAAAGGTAAGAATTAATTATACGATTCATATTCAAACCATCTTGGATTCGAAATTTTCGAATAGTTCAGATTCAAATCATAAAAATTCAAATTCGAACTGAATCTCATCCGGTCCGATTCGAAACCATTCGTTTGCACTTTTTTAATATTTTTCTTACGAGTTTTATCACCGAGTGCCTACTTATTTTTCTAAACGACGAGCGAAATACCGTCAGCAAAGTAAATACAAAACCTGCAGGAAAGAATAACTTTTTACCCTTCCCCTTATCGAACCTTTTATACGCACCTGTGCACATATTCACATTAGCTCAATACTCGTATATTATGCAAACGCGGGAGTCCGATGCAACTCCCTGTATCTTTTTAGTGGCGTGACTCACTGTGAGAAATCGATAAACGATTCGTCTCGGGCGTTCGACTCGACCGGCTACCGTCGGATCCGCGCACGGTAGCTGACGAGACGATCGGACCCCCGCTTAGACGTGTACTTTGAGTTTTGGGGCCCGCCGCGCTCGGTGTGAAGCCCCCCGCTGTAGAATGATACGCCAGGATAATTCCATCGGACTTTGACCACGCCGGGGTTCCGCCACCTGGGGGACGGAGATGGTCAGCGTGAATTTGACACGTATTCCCATTGAGCCGCGCTCCGAAAGGCGTCGGCATTCGCGAAACGTATAGCGTCTTACAAATAATTTGTATCAGTCATATTACGAGTGATCGTTATTCTTTGTTACAGTGGTCTACCAGAAGCGGTTAAAGAAGGAACGGAGAGCGAGGAAACGGCTGCAGGAGCAGCTGGACTTGGAGGTGAAGAGGCGCACACAACTGGAGGAGGCCCTCAAAGCCACGGGCGCGTCCTCGGAGCAAGTCAGAGCGATTACCGGTACGTGCGAATCGTCCTCTCCGCGAATAAGTTTTTACACCGACCAATTTCTATCATCGAGATCGGAAAAGTATCATTCACCTAAGAAGCTTATACCCAAGAGCTTAAAGAGAAATACTTAAAACGCTCTGTTCTCGCGCCGAAAACTCGGCTAATATCCGCTCTGCGCCGCGTCCGCTGGGAAAAGAAAAAACGCCCTACGATTTTTATCGCGTAGATTAGATGCGAGAGGCGCGGACTATCGCTGCAAATGGACGGGTTTTCTTAGGATTTCGCGAGCTCGTCGTCAGTCTTTCCGTTAAGAGCCCCGGGGCCAGCGGTGATCTCGGAATAAATTAATTAATACGCCGAGGCAGAGCAAACAGCCTGACACCCGGCAGAATATGATTCCTTACTTATCCCCCTGCCGGCGGTGCAATCCCTCTCCGTCGTCGGCTGGCTGATGGCAGCCTGTTTCCCCCTGTTACCTCCCCTCCCCCGGCGCTCCAGCACCTTGACTAGGCACCGCGCGTCTCGCCCCATGATCCTCCAGCAAGTAGAAGTAGCAGCAACAAGCGGCACACCACCCTTCTTCCTGTCACTACCAAAACTCAAACGCGAAACCCTTTAAGTGAAATCTCTTATTCCGATATAATGTTACGTCCTGGTTCCTTCGCCTCTCGCCTCCCCGCCGTCTCTTCCACCTCATCGTTTTCGCGTTACCTCCCCCGGTTGCTACCGCCACCGTCGCCTCCGTTCGTCGCCGTCGCCGCCGTTGCCGCCGCCGCCGCCGCTGCCGCCGCCGCCGCTGCTGTTGCTGCTGCCGTCACTGGTACCGCTGATTAATCCTGTCAAATCCAGAGAGTCGCGATACTAATTTCAAATCAAAAGGCACGCCACTCCGCCACTTGGGCGCCGACGGGGTGAGTCGCGAGACGGTCACGGTCCTACACACACGGGGAAAGATTTAGAGACGGAGACGAGTTCTTTTTTTTTTTTTAATATCGCGATAATCGGGCGATTGCTATCTTTCTATGACACAGAGAACGTAACGGCGGAGGCGCGCACGAGTTCGGAGCCGCCGGAGGCTAGCCCGGTACATTCTCAGTCGCAGCAGCAATCGTCGCAGCAACAACCGCCGCAGCAACCCCTTCAGCAGCAACAGGCAGCGGCCCAGCAGTATCGGGAGGCGCAAGTGCCGCGCCCTTCCCAGCAACCGTCGACGCCGGAGAAACCCGCATGGGGATACGGGCTGGATCTCATCGGTAGCCAGGCGTCGGCCTTCTGGCAAAACTACCAAGGTCAGTTCTCCCAACGGCACGCTACTTCACCCTCGTCGTACCCCGTTACGTTCGGTTTCGCCGTCGATTCACGGTTCCCACGGTGCTCCCACGGTACTGCGCGCGGAAAAATAAACAGGGAGTACTTAAGCCACTTATCGTTAACGGAGGATCGCGATAGCCGTGTCGTTCCCGCCTCCGCTTCTTCCTTCTTCCCGATATCTCGAAACATCCCGGCCGTGTCCCAATACGTCGTGTTGCCTTCGCGTCTCACTGTCGAATTACCTCAGCGAAATATTCCAAAAGGAAACGAAAGACCCGCCTGACGGGAGAGAATCGAATCGCCCAGGAAAGCTAGTCTGCTATCTACATTGTAAAGTTTACGGTAATTCGAGAAAGTAGCAGTCGCGTGTTAGAGACTTGTGGCCGAGGGAGCACGGGAAGGGGGAAGGACGATCCGAAGATCCAGGCCCAGACCCAGCGGCGGGATCCGCTAATTCGGATAATCGCATTCCCGTATTAGGATCCACTCAATTTTTCTGATCTTCCGGCCGAGTGCTTTCGATCCTCGATTACCCTGACAAAAAAAGTGCAAGAGAGAGAGAGAGAGAGAGCGAGGGAGAGAGAAGAAAAGAGAGGAGATTGACCCCGAGGGCGAGAGAGACGGCGGTGCGGACGGTGGTAGTATGTCGTGGTGGTATCGTGCAAAGTAAATTATTCGAAAGATCTCGAGCGAGAGCAATCACGCCGCCGGCAATAACAACCCCGTGCACGAAGAGGGTAGGAGGAGGAGGAGAGAAAGAGAGAGTGGGATGGAGAGGGGGGGGGAGGAACCGAGCTGGTCCTGACGAGGAAACACGAGGTATTTGAATAGGGTCCCGCAGCCACCCGGGCATCATGATGCGGAATCCATTTGCAATAAACAACGGAGATTTAGACGGGGGTGATGCGGGAGAGGAGAGACAACGAGACGAGTCAAGCGGTAGCGTCAAAATGGGAAGAGGGGATGGGAGGGGTGACCATCGAGAGAGGTGGTTCGACGTAACGTCGTCTGAGGTGGATACTTACGCCACTGAGGGGACCTCGGGGGCCGCCGCTGCCGCCGCCGCCGCCGCGTCTTCGAGTCATGCATTCTATACGAGCGATGGCGCTCATTCATGTCACATCGTCATCGAAGGAACCACGTTTCTCGTCGGGTCCAAGTTTCGTCCGTGACCGACGTATCTTCCAGCCGCGAGCCGAAGATCCCAAGTGCCGATCCGAGCGTCAAAAAGGAAATACGTGTATTAATTCTGCAATGAAATGTTTAGCTCGATTATCTCCTCTAAAGTTCATTCTTTGCCGGCGCCTTCGGCCCTCCTAAATCCCGACCGCCTAGCCGCGGCTGTTAAACCCCCTTCGTGGGAGAGGCACTTGGTGTTAACAGCGGCCGCGTCGCATCCCCGACCTTCCCAAACGCGATCGTGTGTTCTCGCGTGGCTCGCTCACATGAGCGCCACTGGCTGTAATGCAGAGTTTATGCACATCTCTCGCAAGTAAGGAAGGAGCCGTAATTTCCCCGGCGGCCAACGCGGCTCTCGGTGGCGTTACCTGTCCTCCCTTCCTTCTTCCACTCGCGTCGTTCCCTCCGCGCTTCCCTTAAACCTCCTCCAGCCCCCTGCGCTGCCACTCCCCCCCCCCCTCTCACGTCGCGTTGCGCTCTTCCTTTCTCTCTCTCTCTCTCGCGCGCGCGTGCATGTACGTACGTACGGCGTGGTGTACGTGTACAAGTATGCACGACGCGCGATTCCTCCACGTCGTCCACCATCCGCAGAGTACGACGAAGCACTCCGCCACGCTTTAATATTCAGACTATATGCAATAATTTCGCAGCAACCATAACCCCCTTCCTCCTACCCGTGCCCCTGTCCTACCTCCCTCTTGATTTCGCAGCACTCTTGCTTTCTCCGTCTTTCTCTCCCCCCCCCCTCCCCTTCCCCGCCGCTCTCACTCGCTCGGTCTCGCTCTTTCTCCATCTTCCTCTTCCTCCACCTCAAACCACCATCTTCGCTTCGCCGTCTCTATCGTTTATTCCTTCCCCCGTATTCTCCCTCGCCTAACTCCGCTGTTTCTTTCCCCTTCCTGTCCCGACCGTGTTTCTTCCACCGCACGAAGAGACGTGGCACGTACGAACACACCCACACCGAGACTTTGCGAGATTGCTCTACGGCGTGGTGCACTGTACCTCCATCTTCCACCCTGCGACCGCAATCACTCTAAATCGCCGCGCGGGCATTAATATTTGATGGACGAAGTCCTCGGGAATTATTCGAAATGGGAATAATCGCGATCGAGGCATCGAGGCGCGCCGATATCATTTTTCATCGATGTCCCGTGAGATCAGCATCAGCATACGGCTACGGCTTTAACGTCGTTAAACGCTAAACCCTTTTAGTCTTTACACGCCGCGCTCGGGTGCTTCCACGAATGAATTAACCTTGAATACCGTGCGGTCTACAAACTGAAAAAGGGAGAAAAATGAAAGTCAAACGTTGTCGAGAAGTAAAAAGTTTTAAGCTTCAGTCCCGCAAATCAAGCGTATCGCCTCGGGAGGAAAAATGACGACGACGACGGCGAACGGGCTCTGTTGGACGCGCGCGCGCGTCGGATTATTTCCAGCTTTTCAGCCGCCCACGCGGCCGAGAAAATGCGAGCGTCGCACCTGCATGCGTACACGTGCGTAGACCATTACGCGGAAAGACAATAACCCCGCGGAAGAGTGATAAAGCGTGACGCGTGTGTACGGGCGATATAAAGGCCGAAGGAAGCCGACGCGCCGACGTGGGCGGCGGAGGTAGGGCGGAGGAAAACATCCCCCGCCCTGAATATATCCACGGGGCACGACGACGTGCTTTTCCGGCGAACAAGCCGGGACAGAAATCGGACGGGGAAGAAAGGATGCGGGAAGAGGGGGGGAGGAGGAGGAGGAGGATAGAGTGCGGGCAACAGAAAGGTAGAGTTTCGATCTGAACGCGATGGTAGCTCGCGTGGTTGCAAGCTGACGGTGAGGTAGGTGTTGTCAGGAATATTGGGGTTGTTCCAAGACCTTCCCCGCGCGGCGATCACAGCTTGGTCGGGGCGTTTTCTTACGTGTCCTGAAGAATGACTGATAACTAATCTCGAATGACGATATCTCGGGGACGTGTAAGATAGTTTTTTTTGTTGCTGCAACGCGTGGCTTGAATGATAAGATAAAAAGAGGATGCGGCCCCTTTCAAGTTAACTGTTCACACAATTGTTAATGATCACGTACGGTTCGTTTGGCCAATGTCGTTACGTTAGTAAGGTATTAGTTAAAAAAAATGACTGCACTTTTTGGTTGAAGAGCGCAAAGCCAATTGAAGTTGCGTTGTTAATTGTTAAACGCAAGTAAAGATTGAACTGTTCAATCTGATATCCCGTCCAACACACATCTCTCGATACCTTTACATGTGTTTAACAATTAACAACGCAACTTCAATTGACTTTGCGCTCTTCAACCAAAGAGTGCAATCATTTTTTTACTAATATCTTACTAACGTAACATTGGCCAAACGAACGATATGAGGTCATTAACAATTGCGTGAACAGATTACTTGAAAAGGGTCCAAATCTGAGATCGAAATGTCGTTTTTTTTTAGATCAAAAGAGGAATTGAATAATGGCCAATATTATTTTCGGAGGCTATTAAGTCTACTATGAGTACACATGGGAGAGAGAGAGAGAGAGAGAGAAGTCTGCCCTCGACTTATGATTTTGCGCCGCCGCGGGCGCCGATTGGGAAGGCGCGCGGATTGCGAGGGGATTAAATTCGTTACTGGAGAGCTTCGACGCGAATGGCATACGGAAGAGACAGATTTTTACGCGGGCGAGAGAAAGAACAATTACCAAGCGGGACTCATCGATCGTCCTGGATATCGACTACTCCTTTTATTTTTAAACAATATTGACGACGTCGCTGAGGCTTGCTTCATCAAACAAGTTCGAGTCGAGTTAGCAGCGCGTTTGTGTCCTCCCGAGCGGATTTTGAGACACTGACATCTTACAATTTAACAGCTAACGAAAGTTTGAAAATCTAAAATTCACGCGATTCGAAAGCGAGGGAGAGGGAGAGAGAGAGAGAGAGAGAGGGCCGGGCACCTCAGATTCATCCTCGTTTCTCTTCTCCTGCATCCTCTCGCCTCCCAGTTGTTCTGCTTTTTGTGTCTCCGCGCTGCTCCATGCAGCTCCTTGATTCATACAATTTCATGGTCGGCTTGGCGCTCAAGCGCCTATCCCCACCCCTATTCGCATCTTCCGTTCACCCCCTCCTGCCCATATCTCGCTTTCCGGCCCTCCGCTTTCCGTCCGCTGCTGCCTTTCGAACCTCGTCTGCTTTACATAAAGATCAGAGCATTAAAAACGCGATGGTACACGAAATCAACCCTCTAGATGCTTCCTCTTTGCCCTCGTCCCGCGCCCTACATCCCTTTTTGCTCGCGAACGTCACTAACCCTCGGCTCCTCGAGATGCTCGAGTGAGCAAGAGCATTCAGCCAATTACCGTCGTTTCGATGTGATACTTAAATTGCTTTTTTCGCCGTTCGCGCAAGAACGAAACATGTCGAGTGCACTCATCACGTTGACGATTATATCTGATATCCGGCGCCGCCGCGGCAAATCCGGTTAAATCCCAAGGCCGCCGTTCTCCCGGCAGCCTCGCGGAGGAAGCTCCTCGGCTGTGTAATCGCAAAAAACTGCCGTGGAATAAGGAGCGCGAGCGTCTGGCGCGAGAGTGCTTATCAATCGCGAGTTATTGGTCTTCTTCGTGGAATCCATCTCGTCGAGCCGGGTTTTAAGGGGAATATAATAATGAAGTTGGCGTACGAGAGCGAACGTGTATCCTCGATCCCGGGCGAACAATGCGCGCGAGTTTTTCCAGTTCTTGCGAGACCCCGGGAGTTGCGACCGTGCCTTCCCTCGCATTCTCGCCCCGTCCTCGGTTTCGATTCGGTTCGTTTTCTTCTTCTACCCGTGAGGCAAGGTGGCCTCTCCTCGCGGCCCCGGCATTGTGCCGGAGTTAATTACGTGCGGATAAATGCGGAGTCATAGAGGGGCGAACCACCGGGGCCCCTCTTCTTTTTCAGCGGACGTCTTTTTTAGGGGGCCCCTCGCCTCGCGCCGCGCCGCCACCCCCTCCGAAAAGCCAGGGCGATATGGCGCGCGATGCGACGGCATACAATACCAACCGTTTAGGGCCCCGGCGAGGGCCCCGTACGGCGGCCACGGCCTGAAATTGTTTTCATTGTCCGGACGATTTGTCAGGGTGTGTAAGACGGTAGCGAAACTATTAGCGGCTCATTCTTCTTCGACTCTCGAGATGCGCCGTCCGCAGAATTCCACGGGATCGAGCGACGAGCTCTCTTCTTTCTTCATTCGATACGCTACGCACGCAACGATATCCGCGAGAAATCGCGAATCTGGATTTCCAAGTCGTCGTCGTTGTGCACATCACTTTCTTACGCCGGACGGATCGCCGGACAATATGACGGTGGCGAATGTCTACCGAGATTATTAGAATGGGAAAAAACGGGAGAATTCCCCCCCCCCGCCCCCCCAAAAAAACGAGTACGCGCGCAATCAATCAAATCGCTTTTTCGTGCTCTTTATCTCGGCTCGGTGCAACAAAAGGGTGTATCCTCGGCCGTTCCGAATGAGAGGCAAGAAAGTTTCCTTAAATCGGCCCTTCGCCCCGAGGCTCGCCCTCCCTTTCCCGCCCGCCCGCCCTCACCCCGCCTCGCCGTGAGACTCGCCGAGCGAGCGAGAGCGGGCGGCGTTATATCTGGAGCAGTTAAATTGTCATTTGGATATCAAAGGGACGC